GGGGAAGGGAGTGGGGGACAGAAGAGAACATCATCCCACTGCAGATGGGAGGACTGGGGGAAGGGAGTGGGGGACAGAAGAGAACATCATCCCACCGCAGATGGGGGGAGCAGGAGAAGGGAGTTGGGGACACAAGAAAACATCATCCCACTGCAGACAGGAGGAACGGGAGGACCGACCCTGCCCTCCACACATAACTGGGAGCAAGTCTTGACCTTGGGCGCCTCACAGGGACCCACCGAGATGAGCACACCTGACACCACGCCCCTGGTGTGAGCGCGGCAGGAGACGACGCGAATGAGAACACCATGACGTCTGTGAAAGGAGACAAAGGGTTCTTTTGTCCTGGCGTCGCTGGGGTGCCCGTGACGGTGGCCTCTGGGTTGAAGCCTGAGCACACGGCTAGTCTAACGTTACCCTCCTGGCCCGTTCCCAGATTCGCCTCAGGACACCTTTCGATATCAAGTGTCAAATGCCCATTTAGTAATTCCAAAAACATTACCTAGGCAGCTATATGCTGGGCTCTTTGCTGTGTACTGGGGACCCAGAGACCACACAGTGGAGTCCCCGTCCCTCCATGGGTCAGAGTGGCCTGTGAGGACCAGGCAGGCAGTCCCCTACGCAGCCTTAGCGTAGGGGCTATAAAGAAATATTTATTCTGGAGGCAAAGGTGGCCCCCACACTGCATTTCCACATGTGTGCTTGCCTTGCCTCTCTGAGCTGCCAGCGGGAGTGTCACGACACAGCCCAGACACCTGCTTGTCCTAGATGGGGTGGCGCTCTAGTCCCCTGGGTGCAGGCCTCTTCTAGCAGAGGGTGGGCGACCTGAGGATGAGCCTGTACCCCTCATGCACCATCGCACAGCATCCCATGCAGAGCGTGAGCCTAACGGATGTCGGTGGAATAGTGCCCTAAAAACATCTGTTAGAGAGACACGTTTGGTCTAGACACCTGGGCCGAGAGTCAGCAAAAGAGGTAAGAGGCAGGGCTTTCTGGAATTCAGGAGTTTGTCCTCGGCTGTGCCCCCTCAGAAAGCTGCAGACCAAATCCTAAGCTGGGTTTGTCAGCAAGGAAGTGCCGTTCGTGAGCGGGGTGGGTTTTTACAGCAGGAAGAGCACGGCTGAGTGGTTTCCTCCTTCCGCTTCCTTCTAAAGGATGACGGAATTCAAACACAAGGGAGGCACTCTGCTTGCAGAGCTCAACTTTCTTATCACCTGCAGAGGAAAAAACCCCAAAAACCAAACCCACTGCCGTCAAGTCGTCTCCGACTCACGGCGACTCACGGCGACTCCGTAGGACAGAGTAGAACTGCCCCACAGGGTTTCCAAGGAGTGGCTGATGGATTGAAACTGCTGACCTTTTGGTTAGCAGCCGAGCTCTTAACCACTACACCACCGGGGACCCTGCAGAGGAAAGAGGTCTTCAAAACAGGGCTTCATTCAGGTTGGAACCCCTGCTGAGAACTTGTTTTTCTAACAAGGTCCCATGCGATGCTGATGCTGTTGGTTAGGGACAAATTCTGAGAACCACTAGTAGGCAGTGGGGACCTTGTTAAAATGCAGATTCTGATTCAGTCTCTGTGTGGGTAGAAATGCAAACTCTCAGCAGGGGTTCGCACTGGAATGAACTGGTTTGAAGCCCCGGCTTCAAAAGAACACAAGGTCTAGGTTGCGAAACAAGTCAGGGTGGGTTTACTCATCCACTTGGGCAAAGCATGTGTGCTTTTAAAAACTGCTTCTGCGTTAACAGAGGCGGAGGGGAAGAATGTATTTGTGAGAGTTTTTAAATGGGCATACAGAAACTTCTTCGGCCGGCTTAGGCACAGTCCCACAGCCCTTGAACACCCACTTCCTAGCAGTGTGGACACAGCAGGGGCTGTGGGGCCCAGACGGATCTGCACTCACATTGCCGGCTCGCCACTTACGCTGAGCCAAGATATCTCCCTTCTTTCAGGCTCAGTTTCTTCCGCTGTGAAATGGGGGCAGTAAGAGTTCCCTTGCAGGGGAAGTGGAGAACTTAATGAGAAGACGTGTATGAGGTCCTGAATATACATTCAATAAATGATATTGTGGTTGTTAGTTGCTGCTGAGTTGATTCCATCTCAGAGTGGGTAGAACTATTTTCAAGGCTGTGACTTTTTGGAAGCAGACCAGGCCAGTCTCCAAGGCACCGCTGGGCGGGTTCGAACTGTCAAGCTTTCAGCTAGTCATTGAGTGCTTAACAGTTTCCACAACCCAGGGACTCCATTCAATGAGTGATAGCTCTTCAAAATAGACACAGCATAAAAAAACCAAAACTTGTTGCCATCAGGTTGATGCTGACTCATAGCGACCTATAGGACAGAGTAGAAGCACCCCATAGGGTTTCCAAGGAGCAACTGGTGGATTCGAACTGCTGACCTTTTGGTTAGCAGCCGAGCTCTTAACCACTGAGCCACCAGGGCTCCAAATGCTTACCATAGAAAACCAAATAAATGCATACAGGGAGGCATTTCTAGGGCTGATATACTGGGGTGGGGGTGGAATTATTGGGGCATGTTCACCGTCTACATTATGTATTTCAGGGCAGTTTGACTTTTTTTCCTCTACAACTATGTATTACATGTAAAATTAAGTGAAATAACTATCTCGATTTTGAAAAATGCAACCAAATGATGATACCAATGTTCCACTTTTTGTCCCAACTACCCATTGCCATTGAGTCAACTCCAATTCCCAGCAATCCTAAAGGACAGAAGAACTGCCCCATAGGGTTTCCAAGCAGCGAATGGTGGATTCGAACTGCCGACATTTTGGTTAGCAGTCAAGCTCTTAACCACTGCGCCACCATGGCTCCTTTGTCCCAGCTAGAAGGACCATAAACCAGAAGACACAGACAATAGTGTGACCTAGGCATAGAGTGTGTAAGCCTCTTTAGGCTGTGCTTGCCTGAGAATAAAGAATGAGAAATATACAGACTTTTACTTAATACGTCGTAGCCGTGTTTCCAGGGGGATGTGATGTTGTACAGCCACAGTCTTCCTGACTCTATAAAATCAGTCCATTGGGTTTTGCAGACTTGGACCTAAACCTGCAATAAATGCAATTCTGCAATTCAATGTGAAAATCTACTAAGGATGCTCATAATTCCTCTTTCTATGTTTGCTCAATAGTTTAAGGACATCCATTAAGGTTAGAGAGTTCAGGAAATAAGACTGCTTCAAATATAGTGTTTCAAGCTATTTTCAAAGCTTAAAAGAAAGTAGATTGAGTCTGAGTGAGAAATAAGGCCTTGAGTCCATTTCTCCTTTAACCTAAACCAAACCAAACCCGATGTCATTGAGTCAATTCCGACTCGTAGCGACCCCGTAGGGCAGTAGAACTGCCCCATAGGGTTTCCAAAGAATGGCTGGTGAGTTCTAACTGCCAACGTTTTGGTTAGCAGGAGAGCTCTTAACCACTGTGCCACCAGGACACCACTTCCCCTTTACTACTCCTAAATTTACCAAAGATCTATTTGTGGCAAGTTCTGTTTCTGACAAAGGCAGACTAATTGAAGACAAGTAAAACACCTGAATGAATATATATAAAAAATCTTTCTGATGGCATTTAAGATCTAACAAGACAGTGAGAAACTCATAGGTCAAGATATGGGAGAAGATAGGAACCCAGAGAGATGAGCCCCAAAGCCCCACTTTTGCCCTAGGGGCACCTGTGATTAGAAAGAGGTAGGTAAGCTGAGTCATATTTTCGGGAACCTGATGGGGTCAGAGGAGAGAAAAATCAGAAAGATATGGCCCTGGTAAACCACACTCCTATTCCCCACCTTGGGTTGGGACCACTAAGGGTGACCTGGATGTTAAATGAGCCTTCACAGAGTCTGCAGCCAGGCTTCATGTTTTTCAGAGAGCCCAAAAAACCTTGAACCAGACTTAAGGTGGTCCCAGATTGTTAGCATCTCCAGGAGCCTACAGAAACAAACAAAAATCATCCCAGGCCTCAAATGATTTCTAAAATGTTTTTTTAAATACATCGTGCAGAACACTATGAAAAATAACCAGGCACACAAGGAGACAAGATACCATCAGGGTGAATCAGCAAAAACAGACAATAGAAATAGATCCCCAGTGGCTCCAGACACCGAAATTATCAGACACGAGCTATGAAACAACCATGCTCACCGTATTTATGGAGAAAAAAATTCAAACTTAAACATTTCAGCAGGATACTGGGAATTACAAAAAGCAGCATAGGAGAGCTGTAAAGTACGTTTAGATATTTTAGAACTCTGCAGCTCCTTGTGGTTAACTGATGACACAGAGAAAGTCAAGGCAATCAGGATCCTGGCTTGCAGCAGAACTTGCAGACATGGTTCTGACCTTTGATGCTGACTGGATTCTCAAGCATGTCTTCAATGAAAAACAGAGACTAACATCTCTGCCATAAGATGACAGAGGCCAACCCAATGACGCGAGTGCCTGGATGATCTGCTTGTCCTACCTTGAAATCATTGTTATATCTGCCATAGTTGACACGCCCCATGTTCTCCACCAGCACGTCCAGAGTGGCTCCAGCTTCCCCTGTTATGTTCACAGTGAACACCTGGTTTCGCTCAAGGATTCCCTGGGGGACCTGTAGGTTCAATGCCAGATGAGAATTGTCTAGGTAAGAAGATCAGCAAAGGAAGCAGCAGGATGCTCAGTTTATGTAGCTCTCATTTTGCAGCCTTAAAGTTTCACCAGACTTGGTAGGGAATGCTTTGCTAGCCCCTTAGCCCAATCATCAGCCACACAGCCAAGTTCCCTCAGCACTGATTTCCTTTTATTTTATTGTTGCGATTTAAGTGAAAGTTTACAATTCAAGTTAGTTTCTCATACAAAAATTTATACATACATTGTTATGTGACCCTAATTGCTCTCCCTATACTGTGACGGCACACTTCTCCTTTCCACCCCTGATTTCCCATGTCCATTCAGCCAGCTCCTGACCCTCTCTGCCTTCTCATCTCACCTCCAGACAGGAGCTTTAGCACTGATTTCTAAACAGGAAAATCACCAGGCATAGCTCAAAGCAAGGGAATGTCTAGGTTGGTTTCCTTTGCCCTGGGATGTTTTGCTGCTCATCTATTTCTAATAGAAAGAAAATGGGGGCAAATTTCCAGGGAGGACTCCTATTAGAGGAATTGCTTCGTGTTCTCAAAGCACATAAGCCAGTCACATGAAAAACAGCTTCTGAACCACACAGGGAGATGAGACAAAATCAGATAAATGAGATAAAATCAGGGAGTTAGCTGGAGTATTCTCACCTGAAAAGACTTGATATAATGCATTAACCTCAAAAAAATTATTCAGTAGAATAAAGGAAAAAAAACAGGTATTTTATCAGCAACATATTTCCTAATTTTTTCAAAAAGGCTAGATTTTTAAAAATTGACATTACATGACCACAATTCACTAAGACGACACTAAATTGAAGAAAAAAGAAAAATCAGCATAACATAACGTCCTAGAAACTTGCTCCGACTAAAATTAAAAGCACTGATCACCACAGAATGGAAATGTTTTCATTTTAAGTTTTCTGAACAAATTTCCTTAGTTAGAAAAATCTCTTCATGCGTTCTTTCACATGATGATTTCAGTGAGAGAATGAAAATCCTAAAATGTACTTGTGCTTTGTTGTGAAACAAAGTTCTTTGTGTATTGTATGTTCTACATTCTACCTTGGTGAGTAGCGTCTGGGGTCTTAAAAGCCTGTGAGCAGCCATCTAAGATACTCCACTGGTCTCACCCTTCGGGAGCAAGAGAGAATGAAGAGAACAGGATACCAGGAAAAGATTAGTCCAAAGGACTAGTAGACCACAGCTACCATGGCCTCCACCAGACTGAGTCCAGTACAACTAGATGGTGCCTGGCTACCACCACTGACTGCTCTGACCGGGATCACAACAGAGGGTCCTGGACAGAGCTGGAGAAAAATGTAGAACAAAATTCTAACTGACAAAAAAAGACCAGATTTACTGGCCTGAGAGAGACTGGAGAAACGCAGAGAGTACGGCCCTCAGACACCCTTTTAGCTCAGTAATGAAATCACTCCCGAGGTTCATCATTCAGCCAAAGATTAGACAGCCCCATAAAACAAAACGAGACTAAAGGGGCCCAAGAGTCCAGGGACAAGGACTAGAAGTCAGGAGGGGACAGGAAAGCTGGTGATAGGGAACCCAAGGTTAAGAAGGGACAGTGTTGACACGCCATGGTGTTGTTAACCATTGTCATAAAACAATATGTGTACTAACTGTTTAATGAGAAACTATTTGTTCTGTAAACCTTCATCTAAAGTACAATAAAAAAAAAAGTTATTTGTGTATTTTAGTGACAATGATCATAAAACGTCCTTCAGAATATAATTTCTCATGCAGGACTAAGGCACAAAGCTAAATGAATCAGTGCCATTTACAAAGCTAAATCGGAAATGGACCCTGTCCTCAAGGAGCTCACAGTTCACTGGGGAAAGAAGTCTCAAGCAAGATGCCACCATGGTCAGTCAGAGAAAGGTGGTTTGGGGGAGATGGGAAGGCACTAGACAGGGTGGGGCCTTAAGCACAGCCCTCAGTGGTAAGATGGGTGAAGGGGGTATTTAAGGCAGATGGAGCATGGATGAGGCCACATGAGCAAGCAAGGTGCCCAGCTAAGGGACGCGAAGAGGAGGCTGGAAAAGTGACCAAAGGCCTAGGATGCCACATTCCGCCCCCTCCCCCCATTAAAGCAGAAATGCAAAGTTGAGAGACAATTCTTACCCCATTCACAGAGACGTAGGCCCGATCACGGACTCCATTGATGGGTGCAGAGAGGGGTGTCGGGTCGCTGCAATTTTTAGGGAGTGTCGTCCGGTACAGCACAAACCCAAAATACTAGTAAGAAAGGGATTAAAGAAAAATACTTTACTCTAGCCATTCATTTGAAGACAACTTGGTTACCCTTGATCCATGTGAAAACAGAATGAAGAGCTTCCCCCACCCCCAGCAAAAATTCAATCTGAAAGAAGAGGACTGACTTACATCTTTAGACCACAGAATAACTACCATGGCAGAAAATAGCAAGGAACGCTGAAGAGTGTCTTATCAAACAACCCTTTTACAGAAGAGGAAACTGGACCCTGGACAGGCTAAGTGATTTGTCCAGAGTCACTCGGGGGATCACATCATATATATAAGAAGGTTATTTATGTTAACTAAAAAAAAAAACAAAAACAAAATCAATCAGGAGTTCTTGCTTGAGGGGTAGGTACTGAGTTTCTTTTTGGGGTGATGAAAAAGTTTTGGAAATAGGGAGTGGTGATGGTTTCACAACATTGTGAATGTAATTAATATCACTGACTTGTACACTTAGAAATGGTTAAAATTACAAATTTTATGTTATATATACATATTACACACACACAACACAAAAACAAAACAAGAAAAACCCATTAAAAACAAACAAAAAACAATAACACAGCCAAGAGATGAAGCTGTGCTTGTTGAAAAGGCTTCCAGACTCTTGGGCTAAATCTGCTGTCACAGGGAAAGAGGGATAGCTAAGAGAGTAGCGTGCCCCCGTTGCTAAGTTAGAAAATATTTTTAGATGCTGAAGCCTCAATGAGCCTCAGCAGTCACAGCGTACACAGAATCACAGCTACAGACTTCACCTATTTAACTCCGAGAGGGCATTAGCAAGGATGAGACGGGAAGAAGTCCTGAGCTACAGGAGAATCCCAATAGCAATCTAGCAAGGAACAGAAAAATTCCCCATTTTGGAGGCAAAGAAGAAAAGGAAGTGCACCTCAGGCTACTGGAGGGGTGATTTGGAGGAGCGGAAGAAAACATTAATCCATGTTCTTGAGTTGCAGGAAATGGCCAGACAAAAGAAATGCCACTGGGGCCACCACCCATACCTTCAAGCACAAGAACCCCATCCTTCCAGGCCCCAAATCTCCATCTGTCTCTCATTTGTTTCTTTTTCAAGTAACCAAAGTGGTAGGTGCTAGCTGGGAGGCTGAGGAAACCTTTGTTTCCAGGAGGGGGCGGAAGCTGTGGTACTCTCTGCAAAGCTGGGGCTCAGGCCCCAGAGGCCAGCAGGAGGGGCAGCAGCCCTCAGGGGCACCGGGGCTGCACTCTGCCGCCTGGAGCTTGCATCCTGTCTTCCATGCGTTTCACTGGCAATAAACATGCCATGGGCTTGCCAGAACCTGAAGCCCCCACCCAATCCAAGGGCACCGTCTTGGCCAAGGGTTCTGAGAAAGAACAATGGTTGCAATTGCTTACACATTAACATGGAATTCACTTCCAAAGGTCCAGGTGCTCTGATGTCCATGTCTGAAGTGCTTAATGGCCTGCTAGCTGGACAAGGTATGTTCTATTTTATAGCGCGAACACAGACACACAGCCAGAGTGCGCTAGCACTGAGAAAAGAACCCTACCCAATGTCGATGAGAAAAGGGAGGAGGACTTAACTGTCCCTTTTTACTTACCACAAAACAGCGGTTGGAATAAAATACGCACGTGTAAAAATAGTAACCAGAGACAAAATACTCTAAACCAAGATGAGATCCGCTGTTATTATACAATCATGACATCAGAAAGGGGCTGACTGCGATCTGAAGTGATCAATTTTTTTTTTTTTCACTTTTGTTGTTGAGAATATACACAGCAAAACATACACCAATTCCACAGTTTCTACATGTACAATTCCAGGACACTGATTACATTCTTTGAGTCGTGCAACCATTCTCACCTTCCTTTTCTGAGTTGTTCCTTCTGCATTAACAAAAACTCACTGGCCCCCAAGGTTCCTATCTCATCTTTGGAGTTGCTGTTGTCAGTTTGATCCCATATAGATAGCTCTTAAAAGAGCACACTGATCAAGGCAGACATTCTTCACTAGTTAAGCTAAACTGGTGTTTGGTTTTAGGAAGACTTCAAGGGGTATTTTTTAAGTTTTAAAGATTATCATAGGACAATAGTTTCAGGGTTTCATCCAGCCTCCATGGCCCCAGAAAGTCTAGAGTTCATGACTGAAATGATCAAACTTGACATCACCAATAAGGGGGCGAACTGACCTCATGGGCACCCTGCTACGGCGCCCTGAGAAGAACACGCCCCCTCTGTCATGTGTCATGACAAAATGTTTTACGTGAATCTAATCAGTGAGGGACAGTCTACAAAATAACTGGCCTGAATTCTTCAAAAATGTCATGTCAGGAGGAGGGTATTTTAAAAAAAAGAGAAAAAAAAAAAAGACTTAGTAACAATTTTAGAGTAAAGAAGAACAAAAAGATATTATAATTAAATGCAACGCGTGATCATGGATTAGACAGTGGATTGACAAAAAAGTAAGCTATAAAGTACACAGTTGGAAAAATGAGGGGCATTTGAATGCAGAATGCTTGTTAGGTAACAGATTGCATCAACACTAAGTTTTCTGAATGCAAGCACTGTATTGTGGTTACGTAAGACAACGTCTTTCTTAGCAGATACAAGATGCAATATTTAGAGGCGAAGTGTCATGATGTTGGCAATTACAAGTTTCGAAAGGAAGAAAAAACGTAAACTATACACTCGCACAGACAAAGATAAAGTAAGTGTACCAACTGCTAACAATTGGTGAATCTAGGTGAAGAGTACATGGGTAGTTGTTGTATTATTCTTGCAACTTTTTTAGGCTTGAAATTTTCCAAAATAAGACACTAGGGGAAAAAAAAAAACTTTTGAAAGAAACAGGGGGCAATGCCTAGAGATTTAAAAAACAAAACAAAAAAGAACATACTCTGTTCTCTTCAAAACCATGAAAAAGAATCTCCAAGAACCCAATACACCAAGAACACAGTCCTTATACCTTTGGGCTGACTAAGAAGAGGCAAAACTTAGATTGTCTTTTTTGAGTATTAAAATACTGTTTTTCCACTGATACCTAGTAACACAGATTAATTACACCAGTCGCACTCAGTTTATGACTTGTACGGAATTATGCTGAACAATGGAACAGAGCTGAGAACCCACAAGTAAGTCCATCCACCTACGGACAGCTGATCTTTGACAAAGGGCCAAAATGCATTAAACGGGGAAGAGAGTCTCTTTAATAAATGATGCTGGCAAAATTGGATATCCATTTGCAGACAAATGAAACAGGGTCCATACCTAACTCAAGATGGATCAAAGACCTAAATATAAAACCTGAAACTATAAAGATCATGGAAGAAAAAATAGGGGTGAACCTAGGGGCCCTAATTTACGGCATAAACAGACTATCAAACATAACTAAAAATGCACAAACAGCAGAAGATAAACTAGACAACTGGGACCTCCTAAAATTAAACACTTACGTGCATCAAAAGACATCTCCAAAAGAGTAAAAAGAGAAACTGCAGGCTAGGAAAAAAATTTTGGCAATGACATATCTGACAAGGGACTAATCTCTAAAATTTATAGAAAACTTCAATACCTCAACAACAAAAAGTCAAACAATCCAATTAAAAAATGGGCAAAGGACATGAACAGACACTTCACCAAAGAAGACATTCAGGTGGCTAACAAATACATGAAGAGATGTTCACAATCATAATCCATTTTTTGTTGTTGTTGTTAAGTGCCTTCCAGTTGGTTCCGACTGATAGCGACCCTATAGGACAGAGTAGAACTGCTTTATACGGTTTTCAAGGAGTGGCTGGTGGATTTGAACTGTTGACCTTCTGGTTAGCAGCCAAGCTCTTAACCACTAGAGAGATGCAAATCAAAACTACAATGAGATAACATTTCACCCCAGCAATAACGGCAATGATTAAAAAAAAAAGAAAACAACAAATGCTGGCAAGGGTGTAGGGAGGTTGGAACTCTCATACCCCGCTGGTGGGATTGTAAAATGGTACAACCACTGTGGAAAATGGTACAGTGCTTCCTTAAAAAGTTAGAAATCAAGATACCATATGATCCAGCAACCCCACTACTAGGTATATATCCTAGGGAAATAAGAGCTGTGACAGGAATAGACGTATGCGCACCCATGTTTATCGCAGCATTGTTCACGATAGCAAAAAGATGTAAACAACATAAGTGCCCATCAACAGGTGAATGGATAAACAAACTATGGCACATACACACAATGGAATACTATGTAGTGTTAAAGATTAATGATGAATCCAAGAAATATATCACAACATAGATGAACCTGGATGACATTATGCTGAGTGAAATAAGTCAGTCACAAAAAGAGAAAAATTATATGAGACCACTATTATAAAAAATCAAGAAAAGGTTTACCCACAAAAAGAAATATTCTTTCATGGTTACCAGTGATGGGAGAGGGAGGGAGAGAAAATCACTAACTAGATGGTAGGCACGTATTAACTTGGATGAAGGAAAAGGCAACACACAATAAGGTGAATGTCAGCACAACATGACCAAGGCAAAGGAAGACGCTGGGAGGTACGCAAAAATAAAAGGAAACAATGGTAAATACTATTACATACACAATCCTGCAAAAACAGTAGTAACAAACAATAGTTTACAAGTAGATACGTAGGTATATGTTTAAGTTGAACAGGTGTGGGATGGTATCTGGGAGTACTCCCATGGGCATATCGGCAGAGGATATTTCTACATATGTATTTGTATGTGCTGCAAGATACCCATGTATACAGTAGAGCATACAGGAGCAAAGTTTATGAAAACTCCTTAGCCATAACCAAACACCTTGAGGGACTGAGTCACTGGGCTTAAGGGCTTAGGACCATACTCTAGGGGGATATCTAAGTCAATTGGCATAACACAGTCCATAAAGACAATGTTCTACATTCTACTTTGGTGAGTAGTAACTGAGGTATTAAAAGCTTGTGAGCACCTGAGCCCAGAAGAACTAGATGGTGCCTGGCTACCACCACAGACCACTCTGACAGGGATCACAATAGAGGGTCTTCGACAGAGCAGGAGAAAAATGTAGAACAAAATCCAAATTCACAAAACAGACCAGACTTACTGGTCTGACAGAGACTGGAGTAACCCCTGAGACTATGGCCCCCAGACACACTGCTAACTCAGAACTGAAGCCACTCCCGAAGTCCACCTCTCATCCAAAGATTAGACAAGTGTATAAAACAAACAATAACACACTAGAGGAACATGCTTCTTAGATCAATCAAGTATATGAGACCAAATGGGCACCACCTACCCAAAAGCAAAGACGAGAAGGCAAGAAGGGACAGGAAACCTGGATGAATGGACATGGAGAACTCAGGGTGGAAAGCGGGGAGACTGCTGACACATTGCGGGGATTGCAAGCAATGTCATGAAACAATCTGTGTATAAATTTTTGAATGAGAAACTAATTGCTCTGTAAACTTTCACCTAAAGTTCCATAAAATAAAAAAAAAGCTTGCGAGCGGCCATCTAAGACACAACAATTGGTCTCTTCCCATCCAGAGCAAAGAAGAGTGAAGAAAATCAGACTCAAGGAAAGAACTAGTCCAAAGGACTAATGGACCACAGTAACCACAGCTTCCACTAGCCTGAGACCAGAAGAACAAGGCAGTGCCTGGCTACCACTACCAACGGCTCTGACAGGGATCACATCAGACGGTCCTGGTCAAACAATTATGCTCATCAAAAGACTTCACCAAAAGAGCCAAAAGACAGCCTACAGACTGGGAAAACAATTTTGCCTATGATAAATCCGATCAACATCTAATCTCTAAAATCTATAAGATACTGCAAAACCTCAACAACAAAAAGACAAATAACCCAATTAAAAAATGGGCAAAGGATATGAACAG